CCCTCTCCAGACTTCTTGTCAGCCCCTTCAGGCACTGGAAGCTGCTCTAAGTTTTTCTTGGAGCCTTCTCTTCTCTGGTGCTCTCAGCCTGTCTCCATACCAGAGATGCTCCATCCCTCTGAGTGTCTTTGTGGCTTGTCAGCTTTTGCATTTGCAAACAAAACGAGATAGGAAGGGGCTGCACTGGGTTGTGGCCTCATTATTTCAGGATGGGCAAATACAGGTCAGCCAAGTTATTAAAATAAATGCAGCATCAGTCCCATCCCTGTGTCCTGTGGAAGCAATTTCTACCAAAGCCCTGAGAGATCTGGGGAGAGCTGCCACCCTGGACCATCTTCTGGGCTGCCTGTAGGGTCAAAGGAGAGAAATAACATCCCTGGCTTTTATAAATACCTCTGTGGGTTTGTCTGCTTTGGGGTGAAAGAAGTCATGTTCTGGGCTCTGGAGGGCGGATCCCCAGGATAGGCACCCAGGATGGCACTGGCCACGAATAAAAAAGGGGTTTTGGCAACATTTTTAAATTGATGTGCATAGAGAGACCCTTGGCACTAAATTGCCAATACTTTCAGCACTCAATGAGCCATTTTAAATTGCAGCAGCTGGGCAGGATTTGGCAGCCTGCCCCTAGGATGCCCCTGAGCCTTGGTCCTGCTGCAGCAGCTCTTGGAACTTCATCTCTTTAGACCTTGGCATAATTGAGTGGGTGCTTACAGGCAAAGTAATTAAGCGATCAGTGCAGATAAGTGCAGCAACACAATTTATTATGCTCTGTGTGCCTTTGGAGAGCAGGGGTTTACTGCCAGTCATGGCCATACGTCAAAGAACCTCTGCAGGAGGGAAATCTGAGGCTCTGCCCGCCCCACCAGCGGGTGCAGATGGACATGGACTTGCTTGGTGGCAGCGTGGTACAGGAAGGCAACAAAGCAAAGGGGCACAGGAAAACCAACAGGTCACGCCCCAGGATCCTAACAATCCCAAGCAGTGCTGGAAGCTCAGTGTTTTGGAAGCTGGAGGAGATGGGGATCTCGCTTTTGGGATGCTGGGAGGCTCCAGGGAGCAGGTTCCAGCCCCATCATGCTGCTCTCCCTGAGCATCAGCATACAAAGTTTCAGAATGATGATAGATTTTTATTTTCTCTCTTTTAAAATCCTGAGTAATTTGTGATCTTGCTGGATTGAAAGAACACCACCAGTGGAGGGCTGGGCATAAGTTTTTCATGAGGCTCTGAGAACTGTGGTGATAAAAATTATTTAGCTTTAATTTATAGATATTATGAAAAAACTGGGAGAAAAGAAAACCCTCTCTCTTGATTTCTAATATAAAAAGATCTATTTTTAATGTGACCAGCATGCCTGCCTCAGTACAGAGGACACCTCTGTGTTTTATTGCCCCAGTGCTTTATGACAAGCGGCTGTTTATGGCTTTGAGCTGCTTTTAATTATAGCTTTTTTCTAATGGTTGTTGGAAGCTGTGGCACACGAGCTGAGTCCAGACCTTGGTGTAGTGTGCTAACCAGCAAGTGGAAGGTGGTGGGGTTCAACAGAAGGCGCTTGCTTCTGTCCCATGGTGATGGGACTGGAGATATTTGGTGGGGACACCAAAGGAGGCTCTTCTTGGTTCCTGTCTTACACTGCTGTCTCCCTGCACTCTCTGGGGTGAAATGGAAGAAAAAAGGATTATAATAACCCACAGTTGTTTATTTTTTATACTGCCTTAGATTGCCCTATCGGGTTCCCCACGCGAAAGTGGCACATGCCAACCCAACAAGGACTTCAGCAGACTCCTCCATGCTAGCAGGATGGCTCAGGAGAAAGGGATGTGTGTCCCATCCATCTGTTCATACATTGATCCATCCAAGGTCACACTCAGGACCCCTCTCAGCTCCCAGAGTATGGCATCCCCCATGACACACCAATCTCATCAAAGATCCCAGGACCTCCTGCTGCCCTGGGGAAGGACTCTGAAGAAGGCTCCCACCACCTGTCAGGGACAACTGGCATCAGGTCAAAGCCTTCAGCTCCTCTCCTCACAATCCCCTCCCATTCCTGAAAAAAATGCCCCAATTAGGTCAGCTAGGCAATGGAATGACCTTATCTGTTATCTGCACCCTGCAGATAACCATCCCTGCTGACAAACAAGCTGCTCTAAAGCCTAGGATCTCACTCCCTGCATGCAGATGGGTTTCAGAGCTGTAAGTAGAGACGCATGGGATTGAGGTGGCATTTGTTGAGTGAGGCTGCTCAGTCCCATGGGAGCAGTCAGCTCTTGAGCTGGGCTCAGAGGGAGAGAATGAAGGGAGAAACCCAATACCCCTCTTGGCTCAGCTGTGGCTTAATTTAGAGCATGGGGGCCCTGCTGGAGTATTTTTCCATTTAAAACTGAATCTCATTCCTTTTGTCACACACAGGGAGAGGGCCCTGCGCCTTGCAGGGCAGTAGCAGCTGCTGGTTGTGGCTGATGGAGAGGTTGGCAAAGCATTTCCAACTCAGTTCCCCTTTGCCACCAAATTCTTTCCCATTTCACCCATGTGAAGAACTGAAATCTGTCTTCTTTCTTTGGAGCATTGGGAAGGGCCATGAGCCACCCACAGCCCTGATCTATGTCTCTAAACTGGAGCTGTTATAGTGGGGCTTCAACCTGCTGGCTGATCCTCCACCACTGAGCCAAGCAGACACCATGTTAGGGAGAGCTCACTTGCTTTGATACTATCTGTATATAACCATGCTAATGCAACTGAATTCATGTTATGATCAGTTTGGAAAGCCACATTCTCACACTGCCTGCTCTTTGCAGGTAGGTGCCTTGCAACAGGCTGAAAGTAAAACGACGACAATTCATCAAAGACTATCTATTCCCAGAGGTTCAGCTGTACCTCTAAAATCAGATGCATCCATAAGGCACTTTATGACTGCTTTGTGGAAGTGCTCTTCCCCTCTCCAGGCTAGGAGACAACCTTGGGCTCGGCCCAAGTGTTTGGAGGTCTCGTATCCTTAGCATATATTAGCTAAAAGCTGGGCATATCTTAAAAAGGAGTGTCCATAGCCTCAAACACTTGCAGCAGAATTAACCTCATGCTGTTCTTCACAGCTTAACTGTATCCACCAGTCTGTGCCAGCGGTGCTGAGCGTTATCACCACCAGCCTGTCACCACCATTAGCTACAATGACAGACTGAAAAAACTCTGAGCTTATCAAAAAGCAGCCTGTGACATGACTTTGCTTAGGATGAAGGCTGTCCCAGCAAGGAAATGCTGCATATTCACACTGCTTTTATCTAGCAAAGAAAGGTGTAACAATGACTGTCTGCAAACTTCAGCCAGAGAAATTCAAATAGGAATCAAAGCACAGGATTTTAATGGGCTGGTAATTATCCATGAAGCCATAAAACTTCCAAGGAAAGCAGGGAGTTGTGGAGACTTCAGATCAAGCCCAGCTACATCCCTAAGAGAAATACTGTAGTTCAAACAGCATATCAAGCGTGCTGGAGAGATCCTATGGCTAAGTACCAGTGTTATGGGTTTTCATGGGCAGTGAGAAAAATGTTGTCATTGGTTTTGTTCTCTGAGCAGTGGGTTGGGGTACCTGGGGCTGCTGCTTCCAGGGTCTGACAGGATTTCTTACATTCAGCAACAAAGTGATATGCACTACAAGAAAATCAGTCTCATACCTTGGAAATCTGGGAAGCAGTTGCTGCAAGAGTCAGCATGGGGATTAATTCAAAGGCAGGTCACTGTGAAAATGCAGAGGGAATTTATTTCAAAACTAAGGTGAAAACTGAGAAGACCTGGACAATTTGACCTGTGTGCAAAAACCCTTCCTGACTCTGCAATGTGCAACAGATTGCACATTTCCATGAGAAACAGTTACCTACAGGTACAGGATCTCTAAATAACTTCTTTTATAGCATCTTAGTTTCTTCTTTGTCAAGGTGTCCAGAGGTGCCATGTGTGTATGTGTGTGGGAAAAGAAAAAAATGCTTCTGTGCCCCCCCCCCCCCAACAAACATATGTTTAAAGAAATGAGTGTTGCAGCATTCGAGAAGAAGTTTGCACCATGTGCTAGCAAGCCATGTTGCAGCATTTGAGAAGAGGTTTGCACCATGTGCTAGCAAGCCATATGTGTTCTGTAACATATAACACTCCCATTTTCATATCTCTGTTTCATGGGTTGATTCACAGCCATTCTGCTGGAAAATGGTATGAGCTTCACTGATTTATCATGAGACAGGAGACAAATGCTGACCATGTATTAGAAGGGACAGCAGATTGCCTCTCCTGTACATAGGTGAAAATATTATTGATTCGCACTTCTATGTAAGTGAAATCAGAATCTCCAGCTGCAAGCTATAAGCCTGAATTTAGCAGCCACTGCATAGCAAAATCTCCACACCTCTGCCACAGCTCAGACAGCTTTTCAAAGGGATCTGCTTGCTACTGCATGCCCTTATCTATCAGAGGTGGGCTGATTGCTCCTGTTAGGTCTGCTCTCTCTACCCCTCACCTCGTAATCATCAGGATGGAGCTGAACAGAAACAAACCACAGCTCACTTGGACCAGGCTGTGTCTGTCTCTCAATCCAGGATTTACAATTCCTTGAGTTGAGAGGATTGTAGGTTGCAAGATGCTTTTTCCTGATGCTAGGTGAACATTTCTGGTCCTGCTTTTTGTGGCCAGTGCTGGGGGAGCAGAGCAGGGCTTTTAAATACAGGGAGGGCTAACTCTTGGGTGCTGAACTTATCCTCAGCTCCCCAAGCTCCTCCATCAGGGATTCTGCAAACTGTTTGGAGAGAGACGTCTCTGAACATAAGCAGGAAAAGAAGACACAGGGATGACACCACCCTCGACGCATCTGGAGTAACTCCCGCTCTGTTCTTTTTCATATGCCTCATCTCAATGCAAGCAGAGTCAGGACGCAAGCCCCGTGCTGGGGAAGGGAGCTGTGGTTTGCTGGGGTTAAAATCTGACCAACTTCACACTCACAAAAAGAGGCTGACAAAGCAAGGCAGAAAAAGAAGAGCTTTCAAGACTTTCCACCAGGAAACAAAGCAGCACTATACAAAAATGGCTAGCTCTCCACTTGCTTGTAATCCCCAAGGCTAGCTCTCTGCTGGCAGGCTGCATGCTAATGCCTTATTAGCTTGCGCTTGGTGTTCTCACCATGCTGCAAGAGACAAGGACAGAGACAAAAGGGTTTTCAGCATCTCCAAAAGTCCCACCACTACTGCAGTGAGGACCTGCCTGAGTTTTGTTAGCATTTCTTTCTAGTGAGAAGACCTGCGTAACAGGTGAATGCAGGGACACAGGAATAGGGAATTCTTAACCTGGATGGCAAATTTCATATGGTATAAACTAATTTAAGGTAGGTCTGACTGATTGCAGGGGTAATCTGCACAGTCTACCTTTTCAGTGGAAACTCCACTGAGTTTCAGAAAACTCTGCTGCCAATATGTTCAAGCTAAGAAACAGGTTGGAATGGTAAGTGGAGCCCACGCGAAATTCGCTTGCAAATATTCACAGGGCAGGCTAAATCTCTCCCTTAGCACTTATGTGCTACAGAAAGCCTGAGACAGGTATCAATGTGCTGATAAAAACAGAACTTGGTTTGCTCCTGGCACAAATTTGGAAGGGGGCTGGCACAACTTTTATAGAGCAAACTCCTTCAAGAGCTGATAAAGGCAGCAGCGAATTGAATATTTTTGATGAAAATTCTGTTGAAACTAGGGAGGTTTTGTCTAAAATCACACTGCAGACCTGCAGCTTCCTAAACTGCATCAACCTATGGCATGTGCAGTTTGAGAGCCAGTTGCTGGTTAGCTAACTCTTAAAGAAAGAATTTGCTGACATGCAAAACCTTCACTCTTTTTGTATTTTATCTCCACTTCTCATCCTCTTCTGCAAATGCTAAGAAATTACATGATCTGAGGCTGCAAAACTAGACTGCCACTGCATTTCATTTCATGGGCACGATGCCTGAGTTCTCTCCCTGCTTTGCAGTACAAACAACTCTTGAATATCTTGCTTAACTCTTCTCCTATTTCTGCTGCTGAATGGCCTGTAAAAAGATATCCTTCACTTGGCCCATTGTGTCTTGATACAGTTTAAAGTCTTCCTCTTTCTTTCTCAGGGCAGTCTCCAAAGCAGCCTTCAGAGATTTGTTCTCATTCAGCTGCATCGCAAGCCTATGAGGAAACAAATGGAAAACTTTTATGTGCTCTGTGGTGCTTTAAAGCAAATTAGAACAGTGCTTCAGCTCTGGGGAAGAAAACACTGAAACACATGCTCACTGTTAATTTTATGAGAGGTGTGAGAAAGAGCAGACTTGTCACTTGTTCCTTCTCCCTTTGAGACAGAAACAAGTATTAGATGGCCAATATACTTTTCAGATCTGCTTTGTTAAAGATTATAATTCTATTTTCACTAATAAGCTTGCAATCAATGCATAAGGAAAGAAAAAGAAAAAAGGTGTCTTCCTTGCATGTGTCTTGCGTTGCTTAACATTTGCATTAGCTTAACATTTCTGGGTATCTGTATAATTATTAGGAAATTTGTGTAAGAATGACATAGAGAAGCTAAAACCAGATGATCTGTGGTTTCTATAGATTTTGCTAGGTTTTAGCTTCTGAGCAGCAGGTGTAGGTACTATCACTGCTTAAAGGACAGCAATGAATTTTAGCTATTGTGAGTAACATAGCATGGAGAAGGGGAAACCATACCTTCTGCTCAGTTCCTCTACCTTCAATTCTATAGGCAACTTGGAAAGCTGAGCTGCAGAGAACTCCTTGCTATCACTGACATCCAAGGTGAGCCTCGAGTGACTCACAGTCTGTCCTGTAAATATAATCACAAAATAGTTTTAGTAAAACAAACAACCATTTTCACTTGGTAGCACGCTGAGTAAATCTTAGGAAACAGTCAATAAATACGAAGGAATCTGTTAAGTTCTATGCATATCCCTGAAATACTGTAAATGTATAGAACAGCCATTTATTTTAATTTCCTTTCAGTGAAATTAAAACATGATGAGTTTGCATTTTAGGGTTAAATGCAGTAATTTGTGAGCCTACCTATTCAGAGAAGAATTAAAGCAAAGTATTTAAATGGACAAAACAAGAGGTGATAGAAACAGTTCAAAAGAATTATTTTGATGTTTATCTTGTCACTGTGTTTCACTTACTTAAGCTTATGAGAACCATTGCTTCCTGGATACCTGTGATAAAGTTTGCGTGTGGCACACACTGAAGCAGCTTTTGTAAAGCACATTGATCCTTAGCATAAACACAACATAGGTCAAATGCAGTAAAGCACTTAAATACATACCTCAAACTAAGGTTCTGAATAAGGAATGCTTTCCTCATTAAAGGCCTACCCAAAACATGCAGAATTGCTCCTTTTGTTTCAAAAGGACACAAAAACTTTTTCCATGGTTATAGAGAAATATAATTCAAATTTACTACTGAGACTGGAGAAGCAGAGAAGTGTGACCAACCAGCAAACCTCTATGATGGAAGAAGGCTCAGTGAAGACAGGCAAGGATGATGTGCTCAAGAAGCTAAGAAAGGAATGTAATAAGTGACCACAGCTGTCATACAGGATGCTGAACGTATCCCAACACCGAGGGAACTGGAGAGTAGTGTCTGCTGTAGATAAATGGCTGAATCAGTTGAGTAAATGGTACTAAAACACTAAATCCTTCCCATGTGGAGTATCTAAAATATCTGGTCAGAGAGTACTGAACTCTGACGAAACGTATGAGAAGAAACAGGCTATGTCGTACAACCAAGAAGTGCTTTCAGTCTTGATGCTGTGTTTTACAGGACCGATGAAAACCTGCTGTTACTTTCTTATTCTCATCTGGGATTATTTTTTGCTAATTTGAAATTCAGATAAAACAAAAAAAAAACAGAAAAAATGAAAAGCATGAGTAATTTTAAAACACAACTGGTTGTGTCTAGCGACTCAGCATCATTATAGACTTCCCTTGAACTGAAGAGACTAGAAACATTAGATTGGCAATTAGATCAGCTCTCTCCAATTTTGCACTTTCAGAAAGAAAAGCAAATATTATGTCAATTAGTGGGTTCCCTAGTCTCTATTTTATATACAAGCTTTTCATTCCTTCATATTTCCACAACTATCTGGCATGAAAGCATTTAGATAAACTTCATGCTCTGCTGAAGAGGTGCATTATGGGCTTGCATACTCGTTTCTTGTATAAACTCCAGAGTTTTGGCACATTGCAAGGTGCTGAGCTCTCTTCAAAAGAAGGGTGGTGAAATAAATTGTTACCTACCCATCATGGACTTAAAGAGAATTTCTTTGTATTGGTCTTACTGACAATCCTTCTCTACATTAGCTTTTGGTCCTTAAGCAGACAAGGCTAACAAACTAAATATTTAGTAAGAAGGAACCTGTCACACTGGTAAGATTAGCCTGTTTCCTCCAGCTATTAAATGCCAATCTACACAGAGGATGAGTTACCAAAGCGCTACTACAGCACAACTTGCCCAAAATAGCTCACGACCTGGAGAGTTTATTGCTGTATCTCTTTGAGGTTGCAAGGCAAACGTAGGTGGAGCACATGTGTGATAACAGAACAACAAATTTCTTTACATGGCTTTACACTGCCAGGTTGTATCAAAGTCTGAACACTCAAAAATTCAGTTAAATTCTCCTCTAGAAGACAGCACCAAAATGCTCCCATACTGTTTAAGGCACAGAGTCAGTAAAAAGTGTACCATTGAGAACTGTATTCCCACAGCTCTCATCTGGATACTACCTGTCCCTACAGACCCCCTGATTTCTTCCTCTGGATGTCTGCAGAACCCTATGAGGGCTCCAAAGCCTCTCACCTCCAAACCCTCCTGGGAATCACAAAGGGCATCCCATGATACCACTTCTGTGAGCGTCAGCACTGCTCTCTTATCAAAATGAATGTCGTATATCCTAAAGGCTAAAGGCTGTAGCACTTTGTTTCTAAACTCTAGGCTTCTATTAGGATCTAGGTTTCTCTGCACTACATTTTCTCCTGTCAGACTCCAAGTTAACATATGTAAGACAGCTCTAAAAATCAGTGCTCACAGAAAAGCACATGGGGATGAGTCAATGTTGGCTGAAGCCCTTCCTAAGGACACAACAGTTCTGCTCCAAGGAACAGATTCATATTTTACAGACAGCGGTGGGTTTGACACAATTCAGTTACAACAGTGTTTGTTACCTCAGACTGACCCATGCCTAAGGAGAAACAAGACCCCAGTATGGGTGGAAAAGGAGGTGACTTCTCATACAGGTTAGCACTCTCAGTACAGAGCAGCTCTAAGAAGCTGATGAGGTAGCTTAGTACACACTGCAGCGCTGGATAGAGTAATGATGGAAAGCCACACCATCCATCTGCTGAGCTGCAGGGCAGTCCCCCTACGGCCCAAGAGCTTGTACAGGGTCTTTGATGAGGCTTGTGACCTCTCTAGTCACCCTAACTAAACCTGACACCACCCCAGTATTTGCCAAACTGAAATTCCTGTCCCTACTGTTCATCTCACAGCACTTAAAGTCTTTTTACTTTATGAAAATACACATAAAAAGGGAAACGACTGGAAAAGTTTCCTTAAGAATATGTGCCATTTTATTGGTTTAGACACTCTATAGAATCAGAGTCCTTAAGCAATAAAAGGATCTGATCAGGGAAATAGAAATTTAACATCCACCATGAATTCCCCTCCTTTAACTATGCTAGTGAGGCATTCATATTTATAGCAGGAGATTATCATGTTCATGGGATAATAAATTACACCAGATCTAATTACTTCATCACCAGCAATAGTTTTTCATAGACACAGACAGGCCTTAAATTGGGATGCGCCCTTTAATTCTGCTCTTAACCTTCAGATGAATCTCTCGGGCAGAAGTGTAAAGGGAACACAGCAGTGGGCATGGTTGCAACATGGAGCAGTGTCAAGTATTTTTCTGTAGGCTGTAATTCCATGAAAACAATGTATTGCAAAAATCCTGATCCCACTTGAATCTGTGCCAAAATCCTCTTGAATTAAATGGGGGTCAGGATTTTACATCCTGTATTGCTCCACTGGTCTGAGTAGGTCCAAATCACCATGTGTAAGGTCAAGAACTTGTGTAGGTTTGGCAGATGAATGACCAAATGTTGTTTCTATTAACCGTAAAGGTATGATGAGGGACAAATGCTCCACTTTACCTGTTTTGCTCCTCATGGGGGATTTCTGTTCACTTGTGTCACTCCCTGCATCCATTTGCAGTTTTTCAAGCTGCTGCTCCAGGATGACACATCGCTGCCGCTCTTCCTGAAGACTCTTCTCAGCTGCCAAGATTTTATTGCTGCTTTCCTCCACCCTGGCAGGCAAAAAAAAAAAAGGGTAGTTCAGCTTATTTATGTCATGACTATTAAGGATCAGTCAGTCTTGATACTGAATCCTGCTTCATGCTGCACAGCTCCCAACAGAGGGAAAAAGAGAATTTTTCATGCATCCAAAGGCAAAAATCCCAATGAAATTGTTCCAGATGACATCCTTCAAATTTGCAAAACAGAATTAACTAATGAGTACAGTTGGAAATAATGGGTTTGTTAATGGGGGTTGCCTAAATCCCTTAACACTGGCTACTCGTGTGATTTTACCACTCAGATGAGCAGGCAAGCTGCAGATTGCAGAGGAAAGATCTTTTATTACATGAATAAACTGCATTTAAAAGAAAACCCTGGGAAAATTTGGAAGGAAAAAGCATCAGCTGTTTTGCGTCAGTTATCTGCAAGCAAGAAAAGAAACTTGACGTTGCTTTTAATAAACTTGGCCATTAGATACTATCCTGGAAAGAAGTGACTGGAAAAGAAACTGATGGTTCATTCCATAGTGCAATACAGAAGAGCAAATCGACTCTATTCACCCTTCACAGTATCTTAGAAAATTAACTACAAAAATTTGATGCGTGCCCACAGATGGAGTCAGTGATGCATCTCGTGTGGGGCAGTGCCTGACACCAAATGATTTAGAGGAGTTTACAGCTAGAGAGAAACCTGAATTCACTCACTGTGTTGTATAGTGCAGAATAAAGAATTTCCTTCTTGACCCCAAAGGTGATAGCTGATTACTCTCTGAATCAGGAGACCTGATTAGTCTTATTTCCCTCCTAGCTGGCATAACTAAAAAACTATTACAACTATAATAAAATTATATCACTGTCTTAATCTAGCCACAGGCAAGACTCTGACCTCCTGTGGCAGTGAATTCCCAGGCTGGTGACATGCTATGAGAAATTATATTTCTCTCAGTGGTTCTGAATTCACTCAACTTTCATTTGACTAGGTGTTCCCCTAGCATCCACATTAGACAAACAGTGGAGGAAAAATGACAAGACTAGTAATTTTTTTAAATGAAATCTTTTGCCATATATTAATAACTTAAATTAAAATGTTCCTCTAGCTCTTGCTCTTTCCCCAGCAGGGCCCAATCTTACAAACCATTTACCACAGAGTCTCTTCTGAGAGTATATTCTGCTCCACAGTAAGTGATTGTGGAACACAGTCCTAAATCCTGGCAGCTGCTGTACAAAAATCCCACTCATGTAACCATTCCCAGCACTCTTCTCTTGACTTAAGCATTATATGTTACTTGAGCTTTGCTGACCCACACTCCAACAGCAAAGTGGAAGAATGCCTGATTTTTTTTTATATATACGCATGTTGAAATACAACTGGATGCTATTATCCTGAGGTTTTCTGAGAGTTATTGGACACAGTCTCACAAAATTTACTTTACCTGCAGGAGCTCTTGATATATGTGTAATAACTGTGGAGCTGCTGAATCATCAGTCTATGGTACATTTTACAAGCAACTGTGCATTTCATTGGCTCTTTGCTCTTCATTATCCCATATTCGTGATGTCCTCATTTTAGCTATCACTCACACCTCCATCCTTATCTAATTTCATAGCTCTATTAAAATCACAGGGCTTACAGAGAAAAGTAAGATTCTCCCAGTGTGTATTTCCAGGATTTAGCTCTTAAAAGCACCTTTATCACAGTTATAAAAAAGATGCATTTTTCTGACTGCAATTAATTGTACAGGACAAAAGCTGGACAAGTGAGAAATTATAACTATTGTAAAATAAAGAAAGTAAGCAAATAGTGCTTATTGTATTCAAAAGCGCACAGATAAAAGTGTTATCTTCCTACAAGCTGGAATACAGATTTGGGAATCAAACAATACACATTCTCTAACTGGGAAAAAAAAAACCAAACCAACCAACCAAAAAAGTAGTAACTGAAAGGTGTCCAAAGAGAAAGGACTTCACTTTCCCTGCCCCCTTAAAACATAGTTTTTAACATCATCTTAAATTGAACTGAATAATAGAAAAGGAAAAAAAAATCACAGCTAAGCTTCAGTTAAAGCAGAATAAATTCATTTAGAAGAGGATATAGTGCAACTTAAAAGAATGTGAAAAGCTTTTGGAACAGAAGGCAGATTACAACTATAATTACAGTATTTACTACTGATGAGTAATATTGCTGCCTAAATAACACCACACATATGTAAATACATGAATTCTAATTTCATCTAGGTGCAGCAAGCTCGAAGATGACTCCTTTTTTTTGGCTCTTTGTTCTAAAAGAATAATAATAAAAAAAGTGAATCATCAACTAGGCAGGGAAATTGAGTAGAACAAATTTAAAATCCCCTATTTAAGGAACGGATCACACTGGCAGCACATGGCATATTGTACTGCATGCTACAGGTTCTCACACATCTCAAGCACTCTTTAATCACAGCATCCCACAAAGGATACTGGCAGAATCAGCCACTACCTTTTCTGCAGCACAGTGACCAGTTCCAGGAGCCTGTCTCTTTCCACTTCAGCAGCCTGGCACAGAGCCTTGTGCTCTGTGATCTGTGTCTGCAGTACTTTCAAATCCAGGCTGTTAGTGCCAGCAAGCCTAAAAGCAGCAGAAGCATAGTGAGTCTGTTTCCCATTTCAAAAATGAAAGAAATGAAACAAAGACAGGATTTGAAAAACACATCAAAATACACTTGTCTGAAAACTAAGCCAGAATGCAGAGCCAGGCTCACTACCTCCCCCCAGCACCAATCTCTATACTGCAATAAATGGAACAGAAATATTTGAAAATAAAGCTACCGTTTCACTAGAAGGGTCTTTTCCTTCACAAGGGTGCTTTCCCTTCCCATTACCCCTGGAAACACACTTCCACCTCCTATCAATTCACTATCACTGACTCTCCTCCCATTGCTACTGCCAAAATAAAAGAAGCCCATATGTGGATTCTCTAAAGTGCTAGCTAAGCTGTTAAATGGTGTGCTATTGATTTTCTCGCGCTGAAAGGCTTCGGGCAACATTAGTACAATGGCCGTTCCTATGCCTGATCTGTGATGAAAAAAAGAGGCAGTTCTCCCATGTATCCCATTTTTATGTACTTCATTACTTCTCTGAACTCTCCACATAGGAGTAGTATTCAGAAATATCTCCTTGAGAGCAAAAAGCAGGAGAAATCTTGGTGGTTGGAGGTGAAAAGGGGAACATGGGATTTATGGAGCATAAAGCTAGCAGTCAATTAAAAAAATTAAGATAGCATGAAGATGCTAGAGCCTGTGTCAGAGGTCTTTGGCAGTATCCAGTACGAAGGATGGTGAAAGAAGCTGATTGTTACAGAAATAAGGCACACAAGGATAAGGCCAGCAGCTTGTGGAGTGTGGCAGGAAACATCCCCTTGTTTATTATGAAGTTTATATACATACCTTCCAGGTGTGATGTTATTACTGAGATGGAAAGTAGCTGCTGACTCTACAAGTGTATGGCCCATCTTGGACACTGTGCTGAGAGGAAGAAAGATGTATTAGTCCCTAAACTCTGCAGAAGGCAGTCTTCCAAGAACTCCAGTCATTTTGCAATGCCTGTATTTATTGTCACCTTTCAGGGAAAAGATTTCCAAAGCCTCCTAAGTCAGGAGTGGTTAATCCTAAAATCAAGTTAAGGTTGGTAATGACAGAAGTGTCCCAGTCTAAATATGTAGATTTTTACTTTGACATCTCCAAGGAGCTTTAGTTCCTATTTATAGCATTTTTCATTTCATCTTTCCTGATAGGAAAAGATGATTCACTAAAGTAAAATGGAATACAGAGTTCATCAGCATATTAAAATTAATGGAATGAGTGAGGCCTGCTGACCAAACTATTAACAGCTCTTGCAATTTCCAGACTCATTCATTGCCCACCTTACATGTCAGCTATTTTCACGACACAGCTATGGTAGCCATGTATACAAGAAATTATTTATGCATTGCACTTAGTGGCTTCTTCAAAGCCATTACCCAACCTAATTTTCCTGCTTGCCTTCCTGCTTAATCTCAGCAGATATATGAAGTGAAAAAGTGGATAAAATATAGGTTTTTATCTAAATCAAGTCCACAGGAGGCCACAAAGAGAGTGCTGGAGTACCTCTCATATGCAGAGAGGCTGAAAGAGCTGGGCTTGTTCAGCCTGGAGAAGAGAAGGCTCTGGAGACACCTTAAAGCAGCTTCCAGTGCCTACAGAGGCTGACAAGAAAGCTAGGGAGGGACTTTTGACAAGGTAGGGACAGGACAAGGGGAAATAGACTCAAACTGACAGAGGGGAGATTTAGATGAGATCTTAGGAAAAAGTTCTTGACTATGAGAGTGGTAAGACACTGGCCCAGAGAAACTGTGGCTGCCCCATCACTGGGGCAGTGTTCAAGGCCAGGTTGGACAGGGCTTTGAGCAACCTGATCTAGTGGAAGGTGTCACTGCCTGTGGCAGCAGGGTTGGAACTGGATGAGCTTTAATGTCCCTTCCAACCAAAACCATTCCATGATTCTATGATTTACTCCTTGAGAGCACAACTTCTGCAGAGTTAGAAGTGGGAGAATAAAGTCAGTCAGAAAGGTATACCAATGGAGATGTAGTAAACTTCAAATAAAGGATGTTTTAACTGTAACTCAAAACCAGTGAGAATAACTTTTCTTAAATTTTGTAGTAATGCTCTACTTTAATGCTGATTGACAGGGATACATCTGTCATTTCTAAAACCACATTCAGTGTCTAAAGTAATATGGTAGGCAAGTTAAAATTACATAGAACAAATCAGTTGCAACTTTAATTTGATGAAAAATTTCCTGAGAAAACCAGTCTCAAATTCTCATCGCCAGTTAGACCATGAACTCTTTAGCATCAAAACCAGCATTTTAAAAGGAAAGGAAACAACTTGTTCCGGTATTATGGTCCCTTTACACAGACAGAGTGGCACAGAGCCACATCAGCATAAACAAAAATCAGATATACTGCTGCATTAAGATTAGTGTAATTTACATGGTCTTCAGTGAGGTTTTAAAAAGGGTGTTTGTTAAGAACAAATGATGTGGTGTGTTTTCAACATTTCTGCAAGTAAATCGTATTCCATGTATTTATTGATTTTAAATAATGAGCCAGTGATTTAGTGCTTACCTAAAATGGCATTTTGCATTAATTTGCCACCCTGCTTTCAGAAGTCTGCTCATTACAAACCCCGTTTCTCATAAGAGAGAAGAATCACAGGCACTTAAGCTAACCACATGAACATTATCTGAGCTGCAGAAGGAAAATTAGCTGCACTACCATCATGCCAAATGTAGTAATATCTGCAAGTCTGTAGATCTTTCTCTGTTCCAGGATGAAAATCCAAGAAATAATGAGATTAGAGATTCCCATATACTGCAAACAGGCTGCCACCACTGCTGGCACATAGCACTTGTGGTTTCATACAGTTGCTTGGGGAAACCATGCTTCTGAATAACTCACAGCAGTTGTAAACATTGACATTAGGGTCTTCTTACCGAGCAGATCCAGTCCTTCCAACTTGATTGCTGCCTGATGCCATAGGCTTAAGCAGAGTAGAACCTGAATCTGAGGACTCAGAAGGTGGTGGTTCAGCAGCTCCCAAACTGTCCCCTTCATAGGCAGATTTCAGCTGTTAATGTTGGAGCAGGTTATAAAACTGATTACACAGTTCAAAGAAAAATAGCTGCCTTAATGCCTAATCAGCATCTTATAATTATTGCTACAAGCATGCCAGAACTTTTGATTTACATGACCTCCTCAGAAAGTTTCCTTTAGCTTCTATCCATTGCAGGATGAAAACAAAGCAAGTTGCATATGAAATCATAGGGTGCACACAGTCTCACTAGAGAACTCATAGTGCAGCACCAACACTACAACTACCAGCACAGTTGGTTTGTCTCCCTAACCCAGGTCTGACCTCTGGTTCAATGCTCTAGTCCCCATTACTGAGGTATCTGACAGATCCACAATCTCACCATAACCCTATGAGGGTTTTATATCAACAGGAATTGGCTGCCTAAATACTCTTAACAAAACCTGACTGTAAGATATAAGATCACATGAGAAGCCTTTGGAAGGTTAGTGGACTTCCTCTCAACTCCTGTGCCTGTGCTCTGGCAATAGTGCCATCTTGCCTCTGTCAGTTTGCAACACTAAACCCTAAAAGTTTAAAACATTTTTAACACACTAATTTGTAAGGGGTCAACCTCCCCAGTGCTTTCATCTGTACAATGAAATTTCCATATGCTTGAGGCTCCTCAGACTCATATCCATAGCTTAGAGATCTGAAGGAAATTTTTGAAGTGTTTTACAGTGGGAGATGAGAATAACTTACTAGGGGCCCCATCACACCATAAAGGAATGCAGATGGGTACTATGGCAGGTACCATGTCAGCCTGCTGATGTCAGCCTCACTTATGCTTGTTTGCTTGCTTCCTTCAGCAATCAAGGATGCTCAATATTGAGAAGTCACCACTGCAGCCCAACCCTTGCTGTCAGCTGTGTGACATTCTTGACATGAAGCCACGGGTGGATGTGGTTGATATTTCTGTTTTCTGCTGCTTAAACAGCTTGAAGAAAACTTATGTACAGGAAAGAAATTTAAGAGTTACAAGAGAAAATTCCTGTCTCATTCCAAGAGGACAGACTGTCAGTAAGACAGGTATTAATGTCTCAAGCTAGCAGCCAACTCAGATAACAAGGGAGAAGGAAGTGAGAGAGCAGATCTAAAATGATTAGAGAGCATACTCCACCAGTTAATTTCTTCTGTCTACCTGAAGTGTGAGTTGCCCAATCTCCTCTTCTAGCTCTTTAACCATTGCTTCTCGTTCAGTCACCACTTGTCTGAGCTGCTCTATAAGGCAGTTTTGTTTCTGAACCTCACTGTTCAAATTCTGCCCTAGCATGTGCTTGGACTCCTTGTTCTCCTCATCCTGATGGCTCAGATGCTTTAAGATCTCCTGCATTTGCTTCTGCTGGGCCTGATAAAATAAAAACAATGAGTGAGATCTTCACTTTTATACACAATGATTATTAAGACTCCCTTGGTGTTTTACACCCTCCAAGTCAGATACCTGTTTATGAATGCTAGGGCAAGACTCTGCTCTGCCAAACCCATTCCTTGGTGTAAGCACATTGATATCACTAGTGGTACTCCAAGAGTCTGTTATGTTTTAAGCACGAGATCACTGCATCAGCATTTATCCATTGAAAGGACTGCACAGCACATCTACTTGCAATGCCCAGACACATGTGGCTGGGTAAGGACAGTCCATCTCCACTGGCTCCTGCTGGTCATATCAAGACTATAGTGACTGGACAGTGAAAGTAGAAAAGACCTAAGCAACTGAGAGATTCAGTTTGCTGGCAGCTTTGCTACTCAGTGTAGCAGAAAATAAAGCAAGAAAGGCTGGCCTCTGACAATGAAGGTGATTTTTTCATAAAGTGGATAAAAGTAAGGATTTGAATGTGCTTTTCATGAAATTAGAACATGATCAGATTGTGTGAGTGACATTAAAAGATAAGGGAAGTATGAGATGACAGCTATAACACTAGGCTGTTTTATCAGTGGCTTTTGGAGTTTTTCTCACACTGACAAATCTCATCCTTGTCAGATAGTTGGTTCTGTCAGGCCAACAAACTGCAAGCAAGGTGCTTCTTTGATGTAAGGCATAAAACAGTTTAACCATTCCTTCTCAAGTAAACTTGTGTCTTTCTGTAATAAGTTTAGTGAGACACTAAGACTTGGCAAAAGTGACAACTGTTATTTGACTCCTCTGTAATCTGCCTAATGTGCTGGTCAGTACCCACTCTCCCCGCGGGTGCCTGGTATGCAGAAAGGTAAATGCCAGCTCAGACACAAGCATATATTAGCTAAAACCTAAAGAAGCAAGGAAATGTAATTTGAAACTTGTGAGGAGCTGGATCAAGAAACACAGAGCTAACCCTAGTAAAAAGCAGCATATTTTCTTTTTTTTTTTTTAATTATTGAAATTGGGGAAGACTATTTAGAATCACGGCAGGACAAAAGCGTCCTGCAAGACCATGACAGCAGCTATTTATTTCAGCATAACTGTATCTTGAGTCTCTGCTAATACTCTTGGTTTTGAAGAGGTCAAATCTCATCTCCAGCTACTGCAAGCGAATGCGCATATGGATTAGTACTCATAGTTTAGCTTGTGTGTTTTGGGTTGTGTAACACAACAACTGAAAGTGCAAAATTGCAGGAATTCTAAGAAAAAAACCCAAACCTACCAATGAAGCTGAAAGCAGAACAGAGAATACTGTCCAGCTTCATGGGCCAAGAATAAAGCCTTTCCTCTACATACTAGACAATCCTATTTCAATCCTCCTTCTGCAAAATGTTTCTTCCAATACTTGCAGCTTAGAGCCACTTCACTGCAACTGTGTCACGCCTGGTGCTGTCTTGCAGCCTTTACATGATCTGATCCAAAACACAGAAGTGCTTTAGCTGCCTAGGAAACCTCTGGCTGTCACAGTTTGATTCATCAGGCTCCTGTACACCCTAAGGTTGTCTGTGTCATTGTGTCATTAAATGACATCATGTTTCATCACTTATAGAAAGAGGGCTGATATGCAGGGGCTGAGACCAACAGTAATAGTCAGACCATACCAGTAAGGCGTCTATGAGCTCATTGTCATGTTTTCCTTTCTCCAACAGGATTACGATCTGTCCCTTCAGGGTTTTCACTTCACTGCACAGTACTTTGTTCCTGGCTTTTGATGCGTCAAGGGTTTTTTTCACTTCCTCATGACTCTTTTTGAGAACATCATATTCCCCAGTGAGTTTCTGCAGTGATGCAAACACATCATAGGAAATGACAGTTATAGCCTATCACCAAGCCCCAGGTGCTCTGATGAGCTAGAGGAATCACATATGTCCTGGGAGAATATAAAAAAATGGCACTGGCATTCCATATTATCCCAAAGAAAGTAGAAATTACAAATGCTACAACTCATTGCCTGCTTGCCAGTATCAAAAAAAAAAAAAAAAAAAGTCTGCCTGCTCAGGAATAGAAGTGGACTGGGTTAATTCAGTATGTGCCGAGAAGCAAATGATAATTTTGTATTAAAACCTAATTCTGTATGCTCCTGGTTTGTATTTAATGTTGCATGAAGAATGCACATCTGGCCAAAGTGTAAGAGGGATGCTACAGAGTTTGGATGCAGCTGTAGCAGGGCTTCTTTCTACATATGCCTTTAATATAAAGCCAGCACCAGCTGCATTGCAACCCAGGGTCTCTCTCCCTTTTCCCAACATCACCTAACCAAGCACAGTTGTCAGCTGATGGCATTTCAGGCTAAAGAGATGCACCTGACACGTAAATCATAAAACGGTTTTGGTTGGAAGGGACCTTACAGATCAACTAGTTCCAAGTCCCCTGCATAGGCAGGGACACCTTCTGCTAGACCAGGTTGCTCCAAACCCCGTCCAACCTGGCCTTGAACACTGCCAGGGATGGGGCAGCCACAGCTTCTGGGTGGGTAACCTCTGCCAGTGTCTCACCACCCTCACAGTAAATTATTTATTCCTAATATCCAATCTAAATCTCCCCTCTGTCAGTTTAAAGCCATTCCCCTTCTCCTGTCCCTACCTGCCCTTGTCAAAAGCCTCTCTCCACCCTTCTTGTTACCCCTTTATGCACTGGAAGCTGCTCTAAGATCTCTCTAGAGCCTTCTCTTCTCCAGGCTGAATAAGCCCAGCTCTCTCAGCCTGTCTCCATAGGAAAGATGCTCCAGGCACCTAATCAACTTTATGGCCTTCTCTGGACTCAATCCAACAGGCCCATATCCTTCTTATGCTGGGGTCCCCAAGCTGAAGACAGAAGCAGAGGTGAAGACTAAATCTTGTACTGCAGAGGCATGTACAATCCTGTCCACCCAAGACTACAATACAGATCTCAAGTGTGGAAGCCTTTTGCACAGTCTGTGAAGTGTGGCAGAATTCCCTCCAGTAGATCAAAAACCAGGTGGCTTTTGGGTGAAATGATCCTTGGGTGGGTTATAACGTACACCTTGAAGGTAAGTTAAGGCAAGTTATTACATACTATACACCCAAACAGACCTCTCTCAACTCACAGTGTTTTACCTCCAAAGTTTCTTTCTTTTCTTTTTCTAAGCTGCGAATCTTCAGCAAGTTCTTCTCTTGGGCTGATAACTTCCTTGGATCAATAACTGCCAGCAATTCCTCATCAACCTTGCTCGGTGATTTTCTGGTCTTGCTTTGACCCAACTGATTCTCCAGCTCTCGAACCTAGGGGGCAATAATGACAACACATCCAGAGCCTTTTCCAGGAGTACAGTGGTCCAGCACCAAAGAGGACATAACCAAAGAGAGCTCAGAGTAGCATCATATTACTTCTTGACATTATCATAGTTAACTAACACAGAGCAGTGTCTTCTCTTTCAAATTTAAATTTGTTACCTGCTAACAAATATGCAGACATCTAGCACATCTGTGCAGGGCGGAGATGTAACACCAGACCTACAAGAGACTCAGGACACATTGGAGATGCATGCTTTATTGGGGCCATATGTGGAGGCCATGCAGACAACTCCAAAGCATCTTGAATGCCACTAAACACACTTGCACAACAGAATAATACCTTAGATCTCCTCTAAAGGAGCAAACACCCACTCTCCCATCTACATTTAAGCATCTTGGTCTTTAGGAGAATCACCATCCAGGATGTCCACAATCAAAGACACAGATCACTAGGCTGAACATGAGTACCTAGCACTGGTTTAGATGCCCTGGGATACTGGAGACATACATGATGCAGGATCTACAAGACATCCATACTCCTCTGGAGAGATGACTAGAAGCCAGAGGGACAACCTGTGGCCTCTCAGCTGGCATTAAACACCTATGTGCAGTCAAGTGAACTAAACCCCTGCATCTCAGCTATTTGCTATAGATCTATTTTACAGCCAGTAGAAGGAAATGGGCACTGCTACAGCACAGTTCCTCTGCCTTTTTCTGGAGGTGTCTTCTAAGATAAGATGCACCTTCCTCACTTTTGATCAAGTGATTGTATTTACAAGATCACCACTGACTACTGAAGGGGCTTGAGGATACTGCCTCAGAAAGAAATTTCTACATTAGAGTACAGTACTTATGGTCTTGACATGAATTCCATCCAGGGGACCTTAATGGAAGGAAAATATAATTTCCTCCAGGGAAATTAGAGGTTAACAATTTCAGTCACAGTGCAAAATCAGTTTGTTGGCATAGAATTAAACTGCAGAAAAAACTGCCTCCCTGTCTGGAGCTGACATTTCAGCTAGGCTGGGCCCTTCAGGAGAGATTCAAGAGTTAAAGATTTTACTGAAGTTCCTGGGGGAACAACCTGAAAATCTTATCTGACCTCAATTCTTCCCATCTGACTTCAGGCACTGAATGAAGGTGTCTAAGCCAGAGCACAGACAATGAACAGGGCTCCTTCTCTACTCAGTGGAGAGAGGCACCTTCACAACATCCTGGCATTTTAACTGCCAGAACTCTCTAAGGTCACTGAACTCTCTCCTTTGACACAGATACGAAAGATTCACAGCTTAAACGCTGAAGCTTGCAAGTTTGCAATAGACCAATTAACATAATTTGCAGGAACTCTGAAAGACCCTGCACACATCAACACATATTTAGAATATAACATCCCTGCCACCACACACACACATGAATGTGCAGACACATACAAACATACCTAAAAACTATTACAGAAGTAACCATAAAGTGTTTTATTCAAACAGTTGCTTTCTTCAACACTGAAAACTGCCATGTAGTTGCAGTAAGCACTGTACTGGGACATACCTTATAAGCAAGTATAGACGTTAGGAGTTACGTAATAAAGAACTAACAGCATCTTTACCTTAAACTAATGTAATATCTGTACTTAGAAAGAGCACCCCAGTACCCAGCTTACATGGCACTATGCAGAGTCTTTTAACTCACCTTGCTTTGGAGGACAAGAATTTGCTGGGCTCGTCCACGCCAGCTGCCAGAATTGGTCAACAGACTTTGAATATTCACATCTTCACCAACTTCATTTGCTAAAAGCTATAAAAAAAGAATTAACATAAACAAGAAGGCTAGGCTTTAATACAGGTTGGGGGCATGGAAAGGCTGCTTACTCTAGCAATAAACACAAAACACAATCTATACAGAGTGGCCTGCATCCAATATTCAGCATCTCATCTGCTGTAAACTCTTCCAGATCATTATTTCAATACATACTGTTGGTGGGTAGAAGTTTGGCTAACATGAACAGTTTTACTTGTTGAGGTGGGCATTTCAGTATTTTGATATGTTTGAGTATTATTCTTTGCTTTTTAAAAAAATATGAATCTGTGTTTTCCTGCCTGCCTATGGAGAGTGTCAAATTGTACTCTCTAGCTGTATAGCTGTGTGGCAAACTGTGCTACTTCTGTAAAAAAGATTTCAAATTCATCATCAAGGTTTACTAACCAGTCCTGAGAGTTGTCAACATATGTAATTATTTTTGATATAATAAATACTTAACCAGAACTAAACAGGAACAGACTATTGTCCTAATATACATCCTTGCAAATCAGGAATTGAGCCAATCTCTCTTGCACAATTCCAACACATCCACATTAACTAGAGCTAAAGTTAGTATGAAGAGCATTTAAATTATTTATAAAAAGGTCAGCAGAATTCTATTTTTAGGACCATACTTCTACTCTGATCTGCATTGCAGGTTCTTATTCAAAGTAACAAAACCAAAGGAAACAGAGCACATAAACACTTTAAAATCCATCATGAATCAAAAAGGTTAGTCCGACAAACTGTACTCTAATTCAAGCGTGGTCTTTAATCCCATTGATTTCCATGGGACTGAAGCCTATATTTAAAGTAAATACATAATTAAATGTTTTGGAAAGGAGGAATGTACCTGAACATATGCCTTGAACCTATTCTGCTCAACTGGGACTTTCAAACATTGAAGAACCTGTACCTATCATAGCAGTAGAAATAACAGACACAGTCAGCCAGCTATGGTGTCGGAGGATGAAATCTGTGTGTCCATGTGTATATCTTCCCAATGCAACCACTATACCTTCTTTACGGTTCATTGGAATACTTCATGGAGGCTCATCAAAGCGCAAAAGAAAAGAAGCCTCCTGATTTCACAAGAATATACCTCTTGCACAGGATCCCAGACACAGACTGCATCCTGCAACAGTACCTTTTGGGTCATCTTCAGTTCCTGCTTTGCAGACTGGAGTTGATTACGATATTCCATCACTTTAAAGTTGGCTGCAGTTAATTTTTCTTGCAATGCTTTCACCTCTGGACTTTCAGCCTTTGAAGAGAAGAATGTACTTGGTAAGAACACAGTCCTTAAGGAAAACCTGAAGTGATTAAGATCCACAGATCCCTCAGGATCAGAGAATCTTTTTCCAGACCCATGCCTTCCCTAATTTTGAGGGTATAGAGGCAATACAAACAGAGCAATTTGGCCACAAACTAGTGACAGGGATATGTCCTTATCATAGGAAAAGGATTGTACAACAGCAGAGAACCAAGCATCAAATTCTGATTTCCTCTCTTCAATTACAACTCTTACCAAGTTTCCTTCTATCATCTTCAGAGTTGATTGCTTGATTCCTGCATCATCACCACCAAGACAATGCATTTTTTCTACGGCTGTCTGTAACTGTAAAGAAAATGCACTGTTATTATACAATGAATACAGTGAAGAGCATAAATCCATGGAATGTTAATTAGCAAAAAAGTACATGGATGTTTATTTACTCTAGAAAAAAAAACAAACCAAAACAAACAACCAAACAACAACTTCATTTTCCCTTGTTTTTAAACACAATCAGTAGGAAAGCATTTTTTTTTCCCTGAAATACTTCCCAAAGTAAAATATGCTACTTTACAGTGGAATAAATTCACCGAAAATGTCTCTGACTTGCTGAGACAGGATCAGCTATCAAGTATGGAGAATTCTGGGGGATTTTATTACCATAGGTTCATAAAATAAAAGTGTTTATATACATAAATGTAAATGCACTACAGTACAGGATATTTAATAAAAACCACATAGTCCTACTCACCAAAGGAACGTAAAAGAAGGAATGACTACCTATGGCCCTACAACTGACATTTAGCAATGATGTTAAGGCCATTTCTCTTTAGCTGGTAGCTCTAAGGTAGAAGAATATATATCTAATTGCTTGCCACAGCAAAGGCAGACAGACATAAAGCCACTCCTTGTTTGAACCATGTCTTATGTTGAGACTGCAAAGACTTCTTATTGGACAGGAGTGTTGTAATTTGGAGCTAAAAAGGCCAGGAAATGTTGCTTTAAAGGGCTGAAACTTCATTCTTTGAGGTGGGAGGAAAATCTTGATTATTTGCCTGAGTAAAAAAAGGCACTAAGGAATAGCTTCTTCATTAAAATGATTGGTGAAATGCAGAGTGCAACTTGGAACCAGCTCTAATGTTGCCCCTTCTTTGTACGTAAATCAACAGTTAGGCCACCCCTTCTATATAGTTCATAAATTTTTTTAGTCAATGGACTGAGAATAAGAAATTTCAGCTAGTGGTGGCAGCTGCTAGGCTAAATTCTAGGCAGTTTTCTGCAAACATCTGTCTGCAGCATTTGTTTACATGTACCACCCTTTGATAAGTGATTGCTCAATGGCCACACCTTCCATTTTATTTGTGGGAACAGAGTCATGTTAGAACACTTTCAATTTACATACTTTTAGTTTTCATACAAGCAAAGAGTTAACAATTACGTAAAATAACCCTTGAAAGTACATATTGTGATGCAATTGTGTCACCACAATTCATTTTGCAGGGTTTAAGGCATCTAGAAGTCAGCATAGGGAATGAGATTCAAATCACAAATTAACATGTTCCTTGTTTTCAGTGTGGGAGTCTTTATAAAGAATGGAGTCTGGCCAACACAGTCAGGTAAGTCTTCAGCCCACTCTACAGTAGACTCCTACATTACATCAAGTGGATGAACTGGCTGTAGGCTTGGTTTTGTTGCGCATCCACAGCTGCCTAGTCCCATTTGAGGATCTGAGGGTACCCAGCAGGCCTTCAGCCACTGCACCAGCACTGCCAGTCTTGTCACGTCCAACAGCCCTGCAGGGGTGTCTAAGAGGTTTAAGTGGCATCTCAGATTGTACTTTCACACTTATGCATGGGCAACTGAATGGCACTTTAGTTGTCTTGGTTCTTTCTACAATCAATAGAAAAAGATGAGTGTGTCTAGACAGTGATCCAGCTTAGCTTAAGAGCTACTAAAGAGATATGAATCACTGCAGGTTTCCGTCTGTAACAGCTCTTCTCTGTCACAGAATGGTTTGTGTTGGAAGGGATCATAAAGTTCATCCAGTTCCAACCCCTTGCCATAGGCAGGGACACCTTCCACTAGACCAGGTTGCTCAAAGCCCCATCCAACCTGGCCTTGAACACTGCCAGGGATGGGGGAGCCACAGCTTCCCTGGGCACCCTGTGCCAGCGCCTCACCACCTTCACAGAGAAGAACTTCTTCATTATACTTAATCTAAATCTACCCTCTATCAGTTTAAAGCCACTACCCCTCATCCCATCCTTACATACCCTTGTAAAAAGTTCCTCTTTAGTTTTCTTGTCAGCCCCCTTATCTTCCTATAGTTCTACTGAACAAGTACAATCCACAAATTCAGCCAGTCATCATTAGTTTAGAGAAAAGCCACTCCAAATGAGGTTGTGAGAAAATGTAGAACACTGACCAGGGCATAGTTTCAGTGGGGTTCATGCTGTGGTCATTTTTGTCTCAGATGAGACAGTTTGCTGTGTTTAGTTTTGATTTTGATGGTGTCTAAGAGCAGATTAGTTCACATTTAACATGTCCATCTCTGCTTTGACCAGCAATTACTGTTTCTTGAAAATTTCTGTTGGCTTTCAGTTTGATTTCCTTTCCTGAAATGTCTGTGGTCCTTTCTTTTGGGTCAATATCTGATAATACTTTAAGTTTCTGTCTGAATAATGATCATTACACTTCTGAAAGTAGGGGATTATAACTACCATGATTTTTCTTGAAATTATTCATGGCTTGCTCCCCTTGTGTGATTTTGTAGGTCCCTAGCTATACCTGACATTTCTTAGCCAGCTTTTGACCAGAACATTCTGGATTTATGCAGGTGTTCTCAAAGTTTAATCTACTATTTCTTCAACTTTCAGGCAAATGTGGTACAATTCAGATAAATGCATGATTTGTGATAATTGATCGTGACAGATGAAGTCAGAATACACTTGTCAGCATGATAAACATTATTGATCCATTTAAATTATGCTTCTAAGGAAGCAAAGTGCAGAAATAAAAGGACTAAAAATTACCAAAAATTTTACCAGTATTGTGTAAAGAAGAGGAGTAATAGCCAATGAACAAAGTAAACACTGCCATCAGGGCCTCTAATTTTCATTTTAGCAGTCACCTGAGTAAAATTATTCCTGTGATAGGTTAGTACATATGAAAAATTCATATTAAACCAGAAAAATGAGTTTCTCTGAATGAAGATTTGGTGTTTTACATGATCTAGTTTGTTACTATCTCAGTTCTGGGAGTACTTATGTTAGAAAGCAGCTTTCATTACTTGGACAAATACAGCTTAGAAGAATAGAATACCAGTTCATGGCTGGCATTAATGAGGTGGGAATGTAAGACATGATGGTATGAAATCAGCTTCTCCTCACAAAAAAAAATAAAATCAGAAAAATATCATTCCCATAGTGCTAGAAAAGCCTCTGTGTGGCAAATACACATTCCTAATCACTATTTCATATATTCTTGGGTCATCGAAACTTATGGATTTAGCTTTCCTAGCTCCTCCTTTCTGCAAAGGTGAAAACACAGCTGAGGGCACACATCCCTTTCTCCTATTATGGCTAGAAATTACAAGAACTCAAAGCAAGCATGGATGTAAGAGCAAATACAAAATGGGAACATGAATTTAACTCAGTTTCTACATGTCCTCTATCCCAAAAGCTAGTTTTCTATGTTTTAGCATGCAAAAAAAAAAACAAAAAAAAAACCAACCAAACAACAAAAATGTCTCACTTCTCTTTCCAGCTCTTTGACTTTGTTATTCAGTTGCTTCACTTTGGCTTTTTCAGTCTCAGCCTCAGCAGTTATCTCACGATTCTTTTTGGCTAATTCAACTATTTTAGTGGCTGCAACATCTCCAGCTAAACCAGACGCCCCTGAAAAGTATACATAAAAGCAAAGGACATATCTTACAGGGAAGATTCAGAATAGATGATGCTTTTGTTCTCTGTCCAGTGCACAATGTACTTTTATTTTCTAATCCATTTCCCTCAGAGCTGTGCCAGGCACTTAAATGAACAAGAGAAGGAAAAGAGGCGCCAGTGATTCCAGCTGGATTGCTTGGTCCTTTGAGTCAGCATCACGTTGTGGCTAGCAAAGCCACATTTCACACTTCGGCAACAGTTACATGTCAGAAGGCCACAGCACTGGTCATATCAACATTACTACATAGAAAGGGTAGAAATGTTTCCTGCTCACTGCTGTGATGGATAGTTATGAACAGGTTTTTGTGGAGTATTATAGGAAAAGACAACATTATGCTGGTTGTTTACTACTGGAGGAGTTGCTGAAACAGAGGTGTGAACTTTTTTAGACATCTGTCCTAAAAGGTCAGGCACGCTACTACAGTTGGTTCCTGGAAAACATTCAAGAAATTTCATTGTGCCTATTTATACATCCCTTGAGATTATACATGGAGCCTTACTGTATTACTCTCTTAATTGCTTTTTTAAACAGACACTTCATTCACCTCCTCATCAGAGAGGGTTTTATTAGTGTCAGAGCAAGGACTAGCTTGTGTGTCTCTTGGCTTTTGTTAATTGACACACATCACATAGGTGAAGAAAAGTTTTCACACGAGCGTAAAATCAATATAATTGCATGCTATGTCCACAGAAACCTCTAGCTCAGCAATGAATATGAGCCTACAATAACACAACATTGGTGGAATATATGAAGACTGAACTCATCTGCTGTCATTCTTTTTAACTTCTTCATCCTCCTTGACTGCTCTGAAGGATTAATTTTTCTGCTGACATTGTGAAGATTATGTTCAAGACCTGAGGTGTATGCAAGGACAACAGATCACTTTAAAGTGAATTCTGAATCACATAAAACCCCTAGAGACTTTAAAGGGGGCATGCAGAATACAGCTGAGAACAGAATATGAGCCTATATCACTATTTAAAAAATGTGTAGAGAACATAAAAGCATTTCCACTGTTTTTATTCCTTTATCTGATTTGGTTTTCCCTTCTTATCTAGAAGCTGCTTTTTCCTTAGTTTTCATGATAAATAATGACTGCAATTGATCACTAAGTAATAAACTAACCAAAAGCCAGGCTGGTGCTTCCATGTGATGGTCATCAAATGCACTGCACACATTTAATCAAAGCTTTTAATTCTCAAGCAACGTGGACAAGTCTTTGCTACATTGCAGACAGGAAAGACAGAACCATGGGGCAAACTGCCACAAGCTGGCACACGAGTCAGCCAGAGAAGCTGCAACAGCACATCTGGCTCCTAGTCCTGACCCAGTAATAGCTCATCATCTCTCCTACATGCAAGCCACTGGCAGTTTTTAAGAATTAAGGTGTAATTTAAATGTTATTTAGGTCTGCTTATTTCTGGTTTCCCCTTTCTCTGCTAGGCCGGTCATCTCTGCTGTCCTAAACAACAGTGGCACCCAGTGGAGGAAAGGCAGCCTGCACAGTCCAAGTTTCAAAGATCCCCCAAAACACATTAGAAGCCAGATTTTAGCTTTCAGCAAGCATCCTGCATGTGCCCTGTTCACGCAAACAAAAGGAGCCTGAATAAGGAATTTAGCACCACAAAGCGGAGAAAGCTGCAACACTGCTGTTTGATATTAACAGAACGTTTTCCAAAATAAGATGTCTATGAATCATAAGTGGGTTTGTGCCAGTAACAGCAAGTTTGCAGAAGATCTGTGAGGAACAGAGATCACTGTGTACCCCAAAAGGGCCTAATACTTCTTTTAAGGGCCATATAATTATTAATAACAGTATTCTGCACCTTAAATCTGACCTGAATGACTACCAGAAGTCATTTGGTCCTTTCAACAGCTCCGTAAGACAGGGAGGAGTAGTAGTAGTGTTCATATTTTGTGGATTGTGAAACTGAAGGAGAGAGGAAGGGACAGATCTTTAAGCATATATGCTGTTCCATGTGTAAGCGCTATCATGTAAAACCATCTGCAAATAACGCCATGAGACTCCTTACACAAGCAAGATGCTTTGTAAACTCAGCAAATGCAGAACTGTGTCAGTTGAGATCCTTGCCAAGTTTAGAAAGCAATTCTAAGCATTGTCTAAATATATAGTCAGGTGTCTTAAGTATTTTCATAGGTCAGAGTCAAGTGGTTTCAGTGCTAGTGCAAATGCCTGCAAGCTCAACAGAGAACAAGTGTCTCTCACCTGAAACCTGAATTTTGATTCTTCCTAGCAGAAACTCATTACAGGTGTGCAACAGAGGCGATCACAATATGACTAATACATTCCTTTTTAGCATAAAGCAGGTAAAGAGATGCCACATTAATATTTTACTGCTAGGAGCTCACAATGAATCTCTTACCCTACCTCTACTGTCATCATCACCAAGCAAACTAACACAGTGAGAATACAAAGTTACTGCATTTACCTGTTAAAGCCAATCTGTCCTCCTGTATTTTTTTCTGGAGTTGCTTTATTTCAAAATCTTTATCTGTCAACAGTTTGTACAGTCTGCAGTTCTCATCTCGGACTTCCCGAAGCTGATCCTGGAGCTGCTTATTCTCAACCTCAAGACACCTGGGAAAAATAAACCATAATGCAAATGTAAATGTCACTGTAATGTGCTTCAAATAGTTGTTTCCAGAAATAAAAGAATGAAATGACTGCATGTTAAATGAGCTGAGCTTACCAGGTATGAGTTTACTGAAATAAGTAGCGTATCCCAAAGTTCAGAACACAAGTTGATGACCTGACCTATTCAGTTAACACTTCCTCTTAAAAAATTCTGCACTTTCTTGTGTTGTCTGGGCAAACCATCACAGAACAGGCATATTTTTAGCAGTCTTGAAGTCATTGAATAATCTCATCTCACTCAGTCTTACTTACATGTTTCTTCAGGAGAAACTAGACAGGCTCACCATTCAGCATCCATAACATTCAGGCTTTACTTTCCATAATTACCAAAGCAAACTGAGCAACAACTACAAAACCTGTTACTGAGGTTCTTTCCTCAAAATTAATGCTTTATAATAATTCACAAAAGACCCATTTCCTGTGTCCTCATCTGATTTGCTTGGAACCCCAAAGGCAGGGACTGGCATCAGTCTGCATTCTTAATGTTGCTTTTTGGAATTAATTTAGAAACAAAGAATATCAAAAACCCCTCTGAACGGGAGGAAGTAATCTTGCTTCTCTTATTCTTCAGTACATTTAGTGACATTTAAGGGTTTTATTTCTCTAAGACATCCAGATAATGAATACCTTCAATCTCTTTGCTGTCCTCACGTGATGGTTCCTCTGAAGGTAAAACCTAGATGCTAAGGCCTTGGGGGATCAATTCAATTGTGAGCACTCAGGCATCTGTGATGCCCCAGGATTTTCTGAGCTTCTTATGTGAGGCCAGCAGCCATGACATAGGGTTCTTGGGAATATTACTGGAGCCCAAGGAAAGAATCAAGAGCATTTCAGAGAGCACTTGCCACCTACGTGTAGACATACGAGCCAATCCAGGAACTACTAACATCCTCCAACTTTAGACACACCTTTTAGCCAGCAGCAAGCAATGAATGGAAGGGAGGAAACCAAATGTGCTAGAGAAGTTGTACTGACACTGTCTTTGGTAAATAAGTTTGTGGTAGAGACCCTGCTGGCTCATGTCCATGATCCCCATTGTGCCTGCACGGCCTCTGAGTTTCCTCTCCCCACCCATCTGAGTTTCTTCATCTTGCTCTATCTGAGTTTCAGGATGGGGTCCCACTCTGTACCAAGACATGGGCGTCTCTCTTTCAGCAGCAAGCCAAAATGCACACAAAAGTCAGAGGAGGTCCAGTCAATACAACCAGTACTGCCTACAGACTAGCTGCCATCTGAATTGCTCTTGCAGTGCCACTAAGTGCCCCGATGAGGGGACTCAGTTCAGTTACTCATACACAGGTGCCATCTGGGCTGCCCATTCACCTCCTAGCTGCTGCTACTGAAGGGTGAAGGTCTTCCGTGTCCTACCTATCCTTCCCATGTGGAAGTTCCTACAGCATCTCAAATATCATTAGACACCTAAATCAGCCAGATGAATTGACCCCTGGATTCCTATTATCTACAGAATGGCCCTAAATGTTTGCATTTTGGTGACTTAATCTGGAACAGTGGATGATCACAGAGATTTGGATTAAGCCCAGTTGTTACAGTATATACCAGTGTCTTTAAACATACACAGCCAGGCAGGTCAGTTACCTCAGCAGTCACCTAAATCTTTTCTATTCAAAAGTGTTAGCAAGCTTTCTGCTCCAACTGGACTTTGAAACTTTTAATTGCTCAGTCCATAAGTACATATCAGAAAGAAATGACCCCTTAAAGCACTGCCATAAACAGCACAGTCAATTTATGAGATGATAAGAAAGGCACTTGTGTTTCAAAGCTGCAAATCAAAGGAAGATCAAAGGCAGCTGTTTACATAAAAGAAGAAAGCAAGCAGCACTCTGAGCAGAAAAGAGGCAAAACTAAGTTATTCCTACATGCAACCCCTCATAGAAGTGTGCAGCTCTAATTAGAGATATGTGGACAAAAGGATTTTTAACAGTTAGCGAATTAACATGAAAAAAGGCTCTTAGCTCTTATCACACCTGAAGCAGGGATGTCTTCTTTAGAGCTGGCTTCCAAGTCTTACCAAAAAGCACTTATAGTAAGATGGACACAAATACCAGCTGCACAGAGCTGGAGTCTGCTCTGAGAAACGTCTCCATCCCACCCACCCCAGACTGACTCTACATATGCAAAGGAGGTATCAGTTTCCACCCCAGTGGCTCAGCTACAGAAAGTCAGCCAAAAGAAACAGGCCACCAAAAGGTAACCCTTTTCACTCTAGTTCAAGGAAATAGAGACAGGTGAAGCTTATGAACAGGGTCTGTAACTGAAATTCTGGTGTCTTTCCCAACTCTGTTACAAATTCTCCATGTGATGGAGAGAATCACTTACTCTTAAATATACCAGAGTAGAACTGTAGAATCAAGCAGGTTGGAAAAGGCCTTTAAGATCAAGTCCAACCATTCCTCCACTAGGAAGGATAAAATGACAGAAAGAACAAACCAGAAAGAAGCCTCAGCTAACCACTCCAACAAAATTTGGGAGTGGGACAGAGGAAGGAAAAACAAACTCCCAAGGCTCAGAGGAAGCAAAACTTCTGAGGGGAGGATGTTTTCCATTGCTGCTATAAACAACACTGACGTGCTGAAATCACTGCCACTGCGGACCATATGGAGTCCTGTTATTCTGGAACAAGTTTCTTATGTGTTGTCATGGGAATACTGCAAAATACATCCTGGTGAATCCATTCCAGAAGCAAATTCTGCCTGGATTTGATACACTCGTAACCCCTCTTTTGCTGAACACAGAAGTACATAAGCAAAGGACAATCCAGATAAACCTGCTACACCTGCAATGTCAAATGGGGACTTTCAACAGTCAGCATCACTGAAAACAGAGGTACATAATAGCTCTTGAATTACTCAGACCTAAACTACTGGACCGTAAATAACAGAAAACTGCTGGGACTCTCTTACACTCTGCATGTCAGGGAACGCACACTGCACCAGGATGTGCTATGAGAGCACCTATGCCTTCTCCTCCACTAGGCAAATCCACATCAGTCTCCCTCTCCATTTAAAAAAAAAAAAAATAATATATATATATGTATTAAAAACCCCAGATCTCCATAGTAATCTTCCATATACTATCAGAACAAACTGTTGAAGGAAGAGGACAGCTGGTAGAGGTCACATCAGAAGCATAACTTGGCAAATCCAACAGCCATAGTGAGGGACCCATGTGTAAAGTATGCAATGTATGATGCAATGGAGAGAGCAGCTCCCTGTTTCTACACAGACTTCCTGAGCAGCATGAACACTACATTTCCAGAAGCACCTGCAAGTTTCAGTGGTTCATTCCTCGACTCCCTGCATCTGCACAGAAGGTCTGCTGCAGCTAATGCACTTGGGCATTTCAGGAAGCAATTCCCAGAAACAAGCTGAGCAGGGAGTTGCCTAGAGTAACACAGAGGGAAGATCTGCATTTGGGAATGAATAAACCTTGGTGAGTGGCTTGATAAACTTTGGTAGAAGTGCCCTTCCCGACTCCAGATGCTGGGAGAGAAAACTATCTCAAAGGTATATGCCTAATTGTGGTTTTCCACCTGTGATTTGCTGGTTTTGGCAAAGCTGCCAGCTCCTCCTCCTTGAAATGATCTGAGATAAAAGTACTATTGCTCCAGAAAGTGAATCCAGTTTCCAGCAAACAGCTGTACCAGCACAGCTGCAAGGGGGAAGTAGAAGCAGAAATTTCTTCAGCTGGCTTCACCACTAACACAGAGCATATACCTGAACAGCCAACACTACAGACATCTTTGGGATGTGTCCAACTTCAGACCTGTTCTAGTTTGTAAAAAAAAAATCAGTTGGGTCAGAAGGGAAGACCAACCAACTATATCCTAGGAGGAAGATAAGTTATGTCAGCTGAAGTTTCAATTCTCTGCTCCAGTAACTCAGCTCTAAAAACAAGATCAAGGGAGATCCATACCATAATGTCCGGTGTCCTGGTAATCCAGATACTGCCCCAGTGGGTGACGAAGACCCAACCCCCTGTCCCCAGTAAGATTTAAAACCTTACCTTGTACAACCTTGTCAAGTATCTTAACCAGGAGGCAACTCTGCCTATGAGACCCTCCTACATAGCTGGCTGTCTTTTCATCTACTAAGTCAGGTTGTAGTGCAAAGATAGCCAGGGAAATACTTTTCTGTAGGCCCCGGGGTGCATCTATTAGCATTTTTGTCCTTATCTGTCTCTGGAAATTATTCACATAGGGAACTTGTTTGTTTACAAGGCTAGGTAGGAACTAACCAACAGTGTTAGTGAACCTGAATGACTGGATTTTGACAGATAGTACCTAGCTGCCCCTAGCATGTCACCCTTAACCCCTCTGTCCTTCCACTCTTCATTTGTGAGACACTGAAAATAAAGCGCACATCATAGTGCCCTAAGGATAGACACTATAGAGACAGAGGAAGTCTTCTCAGCTGTCCTGGGTTCAGCAGTAGCAGTCATTTTTCTCCTTCTTAGTAGCTGGAGCACTGCTGTGTTTTTGACTTTCAGCCTGGGAACCATGACATCAGTATACTGAAAGCCTGATACGTGAAGAAAGCATGCTGTCCACTTAATATGAGTTTCATAAAAACGTATGCTAAATACACTTCTGTGACTTCCTGAAGAAATGGTGCTGCTACAGCTTTACCTTTTGCCACCATCTTCATTTAAAGGTCGTCCTGCTTCAAAGAGGTTTAGATCATTAGGGATTCTGAAAGTCTCCTTTGTATTGCCATTATCACCCTTCTGACCATTCTGCTTTTCCTTCTTCTCCATTAGATTTCGCAGCCGCTTTTGCTGTTGTTCTTGATAAGCCTTAAATTGGCTTTGAAAATGTTCATTCTCTTTTATGTTTGACTCCATTGTTTACTAAAAGCATAACAAGAAGAAAAAGCAACAGCAAGCAGAGATCAACATCTCTTTGAAGAACATCTTCCTCTAACAACTGCTTTACAATTTTCCCTCACTGACCTCTGCACAGACTCCCTGTCACCTCCTCCTCTCAGCCACTGGGATCCTCAACCCCACTGCCTTGCTTCAAGTGCCTTTTCCTATAAACAGTTTTCAAGCACCCTTCAAAAACGTTTTGGGGCCTTTTCCACTTTAGCATCCAAAAATAAATGTTCTCAAATGTTTTTAAACACATCATTTAAATAAACATTTTTAATGAAGAGCAAGCTGCGGTCAAATCCAAGAGTGCAGCAGGCCACCATGGTACACTCACTAAATGGAACACAAACTGTTGGCAACCATCCAGCCTTCCTTCCCATGTTCCAAAGAAAGGTGCAGATCCCTCCATTTTGGGGTTAATGTGGGACTGACAAAGGATAGAAGATCTCCGTTTATCCTAATGCTCCTTTTTGGGCACAAGACACCAAAGGCGTGACTTATATTTCTCCCCAGATTTCTGAGCCTTAAGTGATAACATTATAAGCGATAGTACTGCTACCCACTTAAATGTCTAGAGCTTTACTAAGTATGACTAAAGATGAGCAGTTTTCTGATGTATTCCAGCCGCTTCTCCTTCTGTTTGACATTTAGCGTCAGCAAAAAACCCAAGTGCACCTTTGGTTTCGGAAGAACAATCAGTAAAAACTATCAAAGGCTTTTTGCTGAGTAATTAACACACGCCCTTTCTGACACTAGGGCAGCAACCATCCTGATGAAGTGCAGAAACTAGGGCCACGTCCTTCTGTGCCTGTCTGTACTGTGTGGGCAGGGACGCACTGCAGCCTGCACCACGACAGGGTGCACTATGAACTGACAAGAGCAAAGAGCGGAGTCCGGCGCCTCTGCATAGCCACAAGCCCCGTGGGTATGAACGATGGCCAGAGGGCAATCTTAAGCACGACAACCTGCCTGGGCACCGAGTCCAAACCTGGCACAGGGGCTCTGCTGCCGACCTGATGTGTGGGGAGATGGGAGTCCCTCTCTTCCCCGCGCAACGCCCGCCTTGTCCTGCGGTCTGACGGCGCCGCGCTGCCTCCCCCGCACCTCCCTGCCCATCTGCCTACCGAAACCGCCTTCCCCGGCCCCGAGGGCAGCGGCGGGGACCCGCCAGCCGCCCCTTCCTGTTGGCTGCCCGATGGGCCCGGCCGCTCCGGCTCCCGGCCCAGCCGCAGCCCCACGCGGTTTCCATAGCAACGGCGCCCAGGCCGCCAGGGAAGGGAAAGGGCAAGGCCACGCATGCGCCCCACCCCTCAGGCCAGCCGCCATGATAGGTCCGATCGGCCGCGCACAGGACCACCCCTTCCCGGTAGAAGCCCGGCCCCTCGGGGTGCGGCAGTGGAGGGAATGGGTTGCTCCTTATCCCACCCCCTGGAGGGGGAGGAGGAAGGCGGTGACGGGAAAAGGTCTCTGCGCGGTGGAGGAGCATTTCCTTTCGCCTTCGCCGCTCGTCCCCGGTGAGGGAGAACTGCGGGAGCAGCCAAGGACGGCAGAGTTGTGCCGGCTGGGAATGCCCTCTCCAGGAACATCGCACCCTCTCAGGCGATTTTTATCCGGGTACAGGAGCTCACCTCATCCCTCCTCTGCAAGAGGAGGCACGCACAGGGGGCGCACCCCCCAACAAATCCATAGCCAAACACTTGTTACCTCTAGCGCTCATATATTTATTCACGTTTTATCTCCCACTGGGGTGTACAATATGTCACAGACAGAGGTGCAGAACAGACCTTGTGGTATTTGCTACACAGACATCATACTGGCACCATGGAATGTAAGCTAAGAGGAGAAAATGAGGTTTTTACAAATTGGATTTTTCAACATATTTATTTTTTGTGACTGCTGTTGCAGATACAAGGGGTCCAAGTGTAAAATAACAGTAGCAACTGACAGAGAAGGGTTTTAACACCTCAAAGATTATGGGGCCTTTTCAGATTTAAATGGTTAAAAATTTAATGATACCACAGAAATCAGAGCTAGATCATATACTTCAGCTGAAAGCATTAGAACACCAAATAAAGGTTTAATTTCCACAATATCTATTTTAAATGTTACAGTTAAATGTTATTCAGAAGAACACTGTAAATAAAGTTACAAAATATAGCAATTCAAGAGTCTGAAAATCTATAGTAAAAATAGGGAGCCTGTGTCCTCATTAAAATGAATAAATATAACATTTAAATAGCTGCAACATACCAAGTACTTATGCCTTAAATAAAAAAAAATAAAATAGATGTTCATATCTCTCTCAATATTTTAGAAACCATTTAGTGCTACTAGAAGCTTCTAAATTACAAAGTTGGAGGCTGACAAATACACAAGATAGAAAATGACAGCAAAGCATTCACGACACTTACAGGCCTCGCCTCCACATGCTGCCCAATGCCTCATAGAAGCTAGTTCAGACTGTGGTTTTGGGCAACGGCAGGAAAAGAAGCCACCAATTTTAGGGAAGTATTGATAGTTGAGGAGAAGATAAAGGCATTGTACTCTACTATATCCCCTAAAAACTGGGATATGCTAATGTCAATCAAAGCAGACCCTGACACCCGCTACCCCAGTGCACAATCATTTAGGCTGCCAGCTCCAAGACAGTGTTCTGTACACCAAATATATACAGGGCAATTCTCTAATATCGTGTTTTTTGCTCTTCCTCAAGAACCCCTTGATAGGAGGTTTGTAGCTGCAGTACACAGGCAACCACCAGGACAGAGATTTCAATGAGCTTTATGCTACTCTTTGGGCTTCAGCACATGCTCCTGAAACATCGAATACAGCACACCTACAAGACAGAAATACAAACACAATCGGAAAGCTTTGTTAAACAAGAAGTAACAAGTTTCAATTTGAACAGTAAGAGAGAGTCTCAGTCATGAAATAATGTTTCCCTTCCGCTTTTTTTTTTTTATAGCAGTGATGAACACTGACTTCTTCATATACAGAGAAATCTGATATGGAATTATACTGTATATGAAAATCCTGATCCCAAGCTAATTCTAGTTTGCTTTGCAGTCAGGCTTCCCTGTTGTAACTTCTGGGAATACAGTATCAACAGTGTTTCACGGGACAGGCACTGACACACATACATAGCTGAAATACTCAAGTAAGACCTGGGATGTACACACTGGTACGTTCAGTCCTGAAAATATATATACAAAAATATATAATACTACACTCTACATAAACTGGTCTTCCAATGTGCTATATTCAGGAACAGCAACATACCTACAAGGGGAAATATTAATGGCAGACCATTCTTTTATTACCTCTTAATTTCAAGATCTGCAGAACCTCACATACTTTCCACATGTAAAAGCAGTCAAAACTTCTACTCTCAGAGTTAGCACAGCTTAATATTAAATGTGTAGTTAAAATTCACACTACTCTAGGAAGTCTGAGCAAACACCAGTCATGAGCATAAACATCCTAAAATGTAACAGATGGCACACTTTCACCCCAACATTTCATGCAGACTGTGTAAACCACTAAGAGAAGAGATGATGTGAGAGGTCCTCCTGTTCAGTACGCACCACACGTGAGCGCTCCCACGACGAAGCCCTGGGCTGCCACCCGCATGTGAATCAGGTGAAGCGATATTTTCATGTCACCTCTGTGCTTCAATTTGTACAGCCCATACCCAACCAACATGGCAAAGCCAGCCATTCCTACAAGAAAGAGGCAAGCATCCTTCTGAGTCAAGATCAACATCATGGATGTGTGAAGTGACCCATCTAAACAAAATACCCTGGAAATCATGGAGTGATTTATGTTGGAAAAGACCCTGAAGATCGAGTCCAACTGTCAACCAAGCACTGTCAAGGCCACCACTGAAGCATGTCCTTAAGTGCCACATGTGCAAGTCTTTTGAATCCCTCTAGGGATGGCCATTTAGCCACTTCCCTGGGCAGCCTGTTCCAACACTTGATAACACTTTTGGTGAAGAAATTTCTCCTAATATCCAAGCTAAACATCCCCTGGCATGACTTGAGGTGTTTCCCCCTGTTCTAAAATAACCATGCTTTGGTCAAATTACTGTTTCTATGTGGATGACAAGTCTTGCCCTGTCTACTGAATCCACTCATGTGTCCCCTCATTCTATGCACAAGTCAGTGCAAAGAAGAGCAAGAGATTGTCATTTTCATACACAAAGAGACAAGCTACAGAGAACATCATATAATTCCTAGATTATGTTACATTATGAAAGATAAAAATAGCTTTTAAATTCAATGACATCAAGCAGAAACAGGATTTCATGGGGCCAAAACCAGTCAACCATGTGATGGTACAACGGTTCAACTGAAACCCATATAATAGAAAAGGATCCAAAACTAAGTAAGACTGTAGAGGTAAATACCATTTTAGGTCTTCATATACTTTCCATAGATTTCCTGCTTCCTACAAGAGCAGAGCAGTTTCAGAGGCACCTTTTGCCATTCACACAAAATCTTACATAAAAACGTCTAGGGCAGAATAGGGGTACTCTTATGAGGCAACCTTAGACACTGAAAAATTCTTTTTTTGTTATTTAAAGGCTTTTGTGGTTTCCTTTACATGATCAAGTAAATCCTTCCCAAACGTGAGCTAATGAGCTAGTTGCTGCTGCTGCTTTTTTGCAGCTATTTGCCTCACTGTTTTGGTAACAATGGCAAGAATACAGATCTTTAGAGATCTTCAGATCTCTTGATCGTCTGCTGTCTATAAACTCCAGCTGTTACTTGGCCAGGGCTTTGACACCTAGTCAAGTGGAAGGTGTCCCTGCCTGTGGCAGGGCATTTGGAACTGGATGGTCTTTAAGGTCCCTTCCCTAACCCTAGCTCCAACCCCCCTGCCATGGACAGGGGCGCCTTCCACAAGGCCAGGTTGCTCAAAGCCCCGTCCAACCTGGCCTTGAACACTGCCAGGGATGGGGTAGCAACAGCTTCTCTGGGCAACCTGTGCCAGGGCCTCATCACCCTCACAGGGAAGAACTTCTTCCTATCCTTAAGGTGCCTTCCAACCCAAACCATTCTAGGATTTCCACTAGCGTTAAAATGCCAAAGCAGTAGCTCAGAGTTTCCTGGATAATTTTCAGGAGGAGTAAGTGCTGCTTACATCCTCTTTCCAGGACAGAAGCTCACATCCAAGAACCCTACTCACCTGCAGATCTGACCCCCAGCATGTGGGTGCAGCCTGACATACCCACTGTCCTACTTGAGGTTGTTATTTCAGGTGTTGTCACACATAGACAACTTTCACTGGGATAGGACAAGTCGTGTTACTGGTCCTGCGATGTGGGTGGAGAGATTCAGCCAGGTCTCTTTCACAGGGAGAGAATGAACTTTTTGTTCTTCAACAGACCAACCACAGCCCTGGCTATGCCAGCTCCAACCTGTGTATACTGATGGTCTCATGGAATACAGAGCACCAATGCATAAGATTTCCCAATTCCATCTACTTCATTTCCTATTTAGGATGATTATTTACATAGCACAAAGGAGGCTGCCAAGTTTTAAGTGTAGTGTATATTTTACCAATGAGAGCTTGGACAGCTTGTCTCCCTGAACAGGAGTATCAACAGTTCCACTTGTGAAGCCATAAAGCCTTCACTGGTGCACGACCCATGTGGCAGCTTCATTAAATACCAATTAAGAGTTTTAGGGCACTCAAGCTAGCTCCAGCATAGGCTGAAGGTTAAATTGTGCCAATCTGCTCAGGAGAACCTGAACTCACAGAGTTCACAGTACGCCCTAGGAAGCTGGAAAGCAAAGTCCTGTGACCACACGGACTGGTGACAGATATCTCCTGGCAAACGCCTGAAACAGTTCACCCCAAGCGACCTGACTGCTCTCCATTTTAGGCGGCTGGAAATCAAAACGTGTCTCACATCAGAGGCAGTTCCCAGTCAGAGGAAAGCTCTTGGGATGAATACAACTGACCCTCTCCCTCCTCTGAGGCTTTCTCAGGGTTTCAGCAGAGAGGCTGAAAACTTCAACAGCCTCCTCAAGCTGGGGAACTGCAAAACCTACTAAGAAAATGCATTTTAAACTAAGGATAGCAGCAGAGAAGGGTGCCACATTTAGCTGGCAGGTTGTATTTTAGACAATTCTAGGTTGTATTTTGTTGGCTTTAAAGTCACTTTGTAAAGATCACATACTTCCCATCAACCGTACACTCCAGAATGGCTAGAAAACACAGTCTCTAACACTTAACAGGATCACCTAAACATCCTTTTTTAAGCTCACCTAATCAATCTTTCAGGGTGTGCTGATTGGCTGTTTTTTTTCCCACTTGCAATTGTAGGTTCTGAAGTTTCTATTTAAGCTAACAAGAATCATTAATTTCCCTGTATCTTGCAGAACAAACATCATTCTGGGCAGAAGGAATACCACTGTCAGCATACGAAAAGCCTACACAACGAAGTAATTTCAAAGTAATTTCCCATTAATGGGGAAAAAGGTAAAGAGCATTAACCCTACTGATCGCCTGTGAAAAGAAAGATCTATGTGTAAACACATTTATTCATCTTTATACCTACCAATTGGTACAAATGGCGTCTCTTTAAATTTTCTTAACAGCTTTGACGTCTGACTGGTTTCAGTCTCATATTCAGGGAAAACGGATTCCTGGCCAGATGACATAGTGGCTGTGAAGACAAGGAGTCTCTCTTCAGGATTTAGAAACACCAAGTTAAGAGAACTTTTAGAAAAATAAATTCCCTTACATAGTCCATGAGTGAACTGAGTAGCAAGATAAAAGCACAACAGCTAGACTCGAGCTGATGAGCTATATACAGATGAATTAATTCAAGTGAAGTCCTGGAAAACAAGATCATTGCATACTAGGAAAGGGAAGGACAGGACAAAAGAAAAAGTGTTGAAGCAACAAATTTCTGCCATGGCTTTCACACAATTACAGACCCCAGCTGCCCCTCATGGGCAGCGAGAAGCCACTGAAAGCTCTGGTCACTGCCTGCATTTCCTTTCAGGACTTCTGTCCTCCACCACACTGCTTTATTTCCACAGACAATTCCCTAACAGCAGCTCTGACCTCAGGAAAGTTCATTTCTTCTCTTTTGCTCCCTGCCAAGAGCAGCACTTGAAGCTCTCGGGGAAAGCGCAAGCTGCTGCAGAAGGTCAGCCCTACCCGGCAGCTTTTTGGTCACTACACCTCTTACCACCTCATCCAACACTTCAGCAAGGTTTCAAACGCCTACTGGAGAATGCAAGAATGTAAAATGGCAGCTGTGGAAGAGCCAAAGCAAGTTGTGAAGCCCTTGATTGACACAGACTCATGTGGGGGCACATCAGGAGGATGATCAGAGTTTCCGCTGCAGCACAGGTGATTTCTCACATGCCCCCTAGTTAAAGAAAAAGCAGCAATGGCCATGAGGAGGGCTGTACTCACAGAGCCATCATCACCAAACCAGAGAGACCATCCACCAAAACCTGCCAGCTTCTTGTCCTGTCCCCATTGCAGCTGCACTGAGAACCTGTTCTTTCTTCAGTACTTGGCACAAGCATAATTCTTCAATCGGTGACTGTTTATGCCAGCACAATTAGTTCAACAACATCACAAAGCTCTCTACTAGAAAAACCTCTACCTGTATTGTTCCTGTTTGGCCATAAAGAGGCTCAGCAGCCACGTACAGCTTGGGGGCACATGAATGTACTCCAAGCTCTTGAAATAAGCCATCAGGAATTTAACTTAAGCACGGGCTTAAATTAACATGCGAAAGATGCACTTCAAATGTGGCTGTATTCCCCGGTTAGCAGCCATTTCAGACTGCCTGGGTTTTAAACTAAACACGCAAGCCTCTGCAGGCCAAAGGATTTGGCCTTTCTGTGCCTCCTACCGCTACCCTTATTTGCTAAATGGAAGTTATATTTTAGCCTGACTCATTCGGAGAAGGAAACTTGAGAGGGCACACACACAACCCCCCCCCCATCCCTCCGTCACGCTGGAGAGGCGGGAACAGCCGCAGGTGAGATTCACACAAGGGAAGGATACCGCGAAGTGAAGCAATCTGTCCACCGCGAGACGTTTCCGTGACCTTCACCTCGTGTGGCCGTGGGACACATCACTGCCCTGACTTGCCCCATACCGCAGCAGGGAGGCGCGGGGCGCCCGTGCCGCACCCACAGGGGGTGGCTCTGCCACGGGTGGACATGTGACAGGACCTAGCACCCCACAGAACCACCGGGCTGCCTTCCCCCGCCCGGGGCGCTCCCTCTACTCTAGCACTAGGCCCTCGTACTCCACACAAGGCCTAAGCCCCACTCCAGCCCCATGCACCTCCACTCCACCCCGGCCCTCTGCCCTTCTATCTGCCCCCGATACCCTCCCGCAGCTTTAGGGCCTCCACCCCGGGTCCCCTCCCCAGTTACGCTCCAAGGACAGGTCCTCCTCACCACGCTACTACCGCCGCCGCGGCCGTTGCCCTCCCGAATCCTGAAACCGGCCGGCGTTTGCGAGCCTGGCCCCGCCCCCCACCTCTTATTGGCCCGGTGCGCCCCGCCTCCGAGGCCGTAGGCTCCCGCGGGTCGGGCCGGAAAACTACGACTCCCAGCATGCCGCGCGGCAACCCTCCCGCCGACAGCCAATCCAGAGCGCGGCCGCTGTCACCGCGGGCCGGGGCGGGATGTGATCACGGGGCTCTTCGAATTGGGGCTGGCGTGGAGGCGTGCTGGGGATCCGGCCCTCTCACCTAGAGCAGCCCGTCCCGTCCCGTCCCGTCCCGTCCCAGCCGCTGCCCGCCCCTCAGACCTGCTAAACGGACAGTGGGGCGCGGCCCTGCGCGGAGCTGGACCCTTTCCCCATCGCGGCCGGGCACGAGTATCTAGGGTTTGCAAAACACAGGGGCTCCGGGTTGAACCCCCGAACGTAGGGGTTTAGGCTGTCATTTGCAGGATGGGAAAACAGCTTTGCAGTTTTCCCGTAACTTGGAATCGTAGAATCATTTAGGTTGGAAAAGACCTTCAAGTTAATCTTAAGTCCAACCATTACACGCAGACTGCCAAGTCCACCACTAAACTATATCACCAAGGGGCAGGGATATCACTGAACAGTCCCAGGGATGGTGATTCCACCACTTCCCTGGGCAGCCTGTTCCAATGCTTGGCTACCATTTCAGTGAAGAAATTTTTCGTAATATGCAGTTTAAACTTCCCCTTGAGGAGGTTACCTCTTGATCTATTGCTTGTTACTTGGGAGAAGAGACTGACACCAACTCACTACAACCTCCTTCTAGGTACTTGTAAAGAGTGATAAGGTCCCCCCCTGAGCCTTCTCTTCTCCAGACTAAACAACCCCAGTTCAGAACTTCTCATGTCAATATAAACCCACACTGTGACATCAGGTGGAAGCTCTGTAGCAGAGGTCAAAGTCAGAGGCCAGATTTCCATCAGTCTGGTTATCATGATACTCAGATGTCTCGTTGACTATTTTTTCCTGAATTCCAGCTATTAAACAGAGCTCGCTTTGCACCTGCTGTATGCCAGGCAGTGTATTCTGAAGCCCAAAGACAACCTACAAATTGCTTATCACTTTAAGCGAACCAGACTCTGGGGCAGCTGGAAAAATCTTCTAGGATCCTGAAGATGCCTAACCCCCTCCCATAAACCAGGGGACAGCTTGTCAGAGCAAAATAGCAGAGTCCTTTTCTCCAAAAACCCTGACTGGTTTTGCAGTGCTCTGGTGCAGTGTTTGTGTCTCCCCAGCTCTGAGCAGCGGGGGACGTAGAGCTGCTGCTCCTGCAGGGCCACCCTACCACTGACACAGCATTTTCAGAAGCATAAAAGAAAGCAGCTCAGATAGCTGCTGTATCTCTCTAAATGTGCTCCCTATTACCGGTAATCTGGTTACCTTAATTGCCAAAGCCATTAGGGCTCTGCAGAGTCTAAAAAATAAAATAAATGTAAAAGATCCATGCAATTACCAGCTCCTGAATTGAGTTAAAATCTTGTAATAGATTACTGTGAAGGCTACTTTCTCTAGTGACTCTTAGAGGCATACGTAAATCCCTGCAGATCTGCGCAATATGTGCTTTAGGGGAGAAACTCAATTAAAACAAAAAACTTATTTCATTGTAATTGCTGGGCTAATGAAACTGTTGTCAGCTGTAGCATCCTTGTGTGCATGTGTGGTGCCTCAGCTTTGCAATCAGCTTCTTGCTCTCTTAATAATCTGTACATTGCCTATATATGTTATAGGCTATGTTTTAAATGCAGGCACACATGTACACCAGCTGATGGCAGCAAACACGAAGATGGGTAAAAATAATGTATTTCTCTCTGCAAATCCACCTACCATGGGGCAGGTTGGATTTGGAGCTGTGGTCGTCGCTGCTGCTCTTTTCTCCTGTTTTTACCAAGGTGGCTTGGGATTTATAAAGCACACCAGAGCTGGCATGGAGGATGGCCTTGACACAGTCAGAGTGTTCCCTGTGGCCCTGTTTGGTGGTGGGCTGAAGGAAATGAGCTGCTAGGTGACCACTCAACAACAGTGATGTTCTAAAACCTCTCCAATAATCCACTTCATCAGAGACACCTTTGACAAGCAAGCAAAGGGTTGTGCCATGGAGCTTCCCCCAGCATCCCTGTGGCAGTGCCAGGGGGCTGGCACATCTCTGCTGTTGTCAATCTTTGTATCTTCAACCATGGCAATAAGCTCATTATTCTGGTACCACTTGCAAGGCTTTGTTAGTGCCTGAAAAGACATGTGATTGTCCCCACAGAGCTGACAGGGCCCGACAGCCCCACTGGTAACCATTTCTGCTCTGCAGCGGATGAGGACTCTGCACCATCCAAGTAGCATGTGGCTTATTCAGATTTCCTGGAAAAAAATGCAGATTTCTACAGCAGGGGCTCAGCCCTGAGAGCCTCTCAGTGCAGAGACCAAGCAGATCCAGTCCTGCCCAGGGGAGCTGGGACATGGGCAGGGTGGACATGATCTAATCTTAATATCCGTCTGTTCTACAGCCACAAATATTTCCACTAATGAAAGCTTTTAGAAAACAAAATAACAAGAGGGAACTTGTTGCCACATCTGAGGCTGGTATGCAGCAAATCCAGGTGGAACAGAGAGAAAGAAAAATACCGCTTATTTGGAAGGAGATGGGGCAAAGAAAAGAGAAGGATCAGGGAGCACAGATGCAAAGCATGCATGGAAGAATGGAGAGAAGAAGAGCAAAAGCAACTGGTTATCTTTAAGCAAGTGGCTGGTCTGTGTGCTTGCCTGGGTGACCCTGGTCTGGCACATCCCAGAAGAGCCTGCTTCAGACTATTTTGTGTGTGGACTCACCACTCAGCCCATGCATGTTGGGGTGCACAGGATCCACCAGTGATATTCACAATGTGCTGACATGGATCCTCGGCCCTTGCAGCTCGGGCCATCCCTAATGTGAAGTCTGACTCCAGCTATACAAGAGTAGGTTGTGTTTATGAAGGAGGGTGCTGGGTCCTCATGGCACTGGTGGCAGAAGGTGCTGTGTCCTGAGGGGTATCTCAAGTGCCAAAGCCCAACTCTGGGTGCAGGTGCCAGGTTTAGATATTGTTGAGGGATTCATGCTCAGATGTGGGGTGGAGATGATTCCTTCAGTGCTGTAACCCACTGATTAACACCAGGAAAGGCAGAACAAAACCAGGGAGGTCACACTGAACTCAAATTTCCTGCCCATGCTCTTACACAAGTAAAAGAGGTTCCTAAAAGTTGATTCAAGCATCTGGCAGGATGAGGACAGGAGAAGAAGCTCCTGTAAGTGCATTTTCTCCTTCTTACTTGTAGACAAAGCAGCATGAGAAACCTGGAGAAATTCTGTTTTCTTCTTGAGCCAGCTCCTAGGCACTGGTGCTTCAGCAAGCTTGGAATTAATCTCTGAGCTCAGCCTGTGTTGTCAGTTTTCCACTATGAGCTATGGGGATGGGCATGTGAATGTCAGCACTAGCATGGTGCAGAGAGAGGAAGATGCGGCAAAGGGAGAAAAGGCATCCTGGTGGGCTGGAAGAGACCCAGAAATGGAAACTTTGGAGATGGTTTGTCCTGTTATGGGAGCAGAGGGCATGTGGGGAGAGGTGTTTGAGAATCTTGCTGGGTGTTGCTGTGTTCAGAAGGGTGGGAAGCTTTGATTTCCTTTCAAGGGCATACAGTCAGAGCTGCCTATAGAGAAGCACGATTCTTCTCTGAAATATATATATAAGCTAATACCCAGAACAGTCTTACTGTATCACTCTCCCATAGCAGATCTCTGCTCTGTGTGGCTGCTGTCTGAAGTGCCCTGTGGCAATCACCAAAGAACTGCAAGACATCAAGAAAACATTTCAATCCAGCCCAAAGCAAATTCTGTTTTCAGCTGCCTGGAACTGCCTGGAATGAGTATTTGAACAATTTTAGACATGGGACTACAACAGGTTTGTCCACAACTTCACCCCTTACAGCTGCACACCCACAGGCTTCCTCAGCAGCCCACTCTGAGCCTCAGGTACTTTGTTTAGCCTGTGTGTGCCCCCTTTCCTGGGGTATTTGTGGGAAGGGAGCCATACCTAGAAGTTGCAGAGCCACCTTGGTGTATGTTCCCCTTGGGATGTGTAGCACAACCAGGGACCAGCAGTTTCATTTTATCATTACTTGGTGGCTGCAGGTCTCCTGGGCAACGAGAGAAATATCGTCAAAGAGAGCAAGGCAGGAGTGAGTGCAGGCAGGGAGCTACACAGTCATGCCTTGGATTGCTGGAAGAATAAGCCCCAGGAGAAAGGTGGGCATCTCTGGCCATGGCTGAAAAATGGTATGGTTTAGGGGTGGAGTGGTATCTGCACAATTTTTCTCTGTGACAGCCCTGGTTTATTCTCAGAGCCTGGTGATTAGGCTTGATTTTTAAACCCCACAGAACTTCATGGTACTTTTGGGAGGTAGCTCAGGCAGATCCCATCTCCCACTGCACAAGAC